CGCTCACATTTCTGTAATCAATAAAGTTGTAGCCAAAATTTTGCCCCAAAACCTTAAACAAAATATCTGTGTCTGTGTGAATTTATTTACCCTAATGGGGGTTCGGCTTGAGGGTCTTGCCACGCAACCTAATTCTTATAGCTTCCTGTAAACCTAATTCACAGGGAGGTTCACATCTTCCTGCCTTTGAATAAATGACTGTTTACACTCTAAATACTCAGGGATATGCAACCCATCCTTGCAAGCATTGTTCTCAGTCTTCTCATAACTGGTTCTGCTTCTCTTGAAATTCCTCAGCTGTATGAAGATGAGACTTTGAATATCCCAGGACATCTGTGAAAACCTACCAGGCAGCCCAACACACTAGTCACTTTGTGCCAGAGAACCCAGCTGCATGCAGCTTCTTCCCCTTTACTCTTCCCTTCTCCTTCCCCCACCCTGGAGCTAAGACTGGGCCAACAGCTCAGTAGCAGAACATCTGCCTTGCATACAGCTTCCTATATTCCTAATTTCCTATGATGGAGGTGAACTTGGTGGAAGATACAGGATCCGCAGAGGAGTGTTTAACTGGTTATTAGATATCAGAACCTGCGTTCTGCTTGAGAGGAGGGGTCTACTCAGGAAGAGTAAACATCAGGCATATCTTGTTCCTCAGGAAGGGAAATTGTGACTGTACTTACCATAAAACATGAAACATTAAAACATGACAAATTGCCTTCAAAGTTAGTGCGCTGTGCCCCAATTCTCACCCATATGTTGCTGCACCTACTGTTTGGTCTCAGCCCCTGACATGAGAAACTGATCACAAACAGTTCCAAGGCCAGAGCCAATATTTATGCAATTACCGTCTGCAACAATGTGCATCTTTGAATACACACAAGTGGATATGTACAAGGATTTACCACCGTTCTGTAAGTACAATTCAACAAGTGTCTAGGATCAAGTTTACATAATTGCTTGAGGATAACCTGTTAAATGAAATTAATCCATGTACTCACAACATGGAACACTTATTTCCGATATTATTTTCTTACTTATTATTTTATTTTATTTAAAATATTTATGAGCTGGCGCTCATTAAAACCATACCGCAGCAATGCAGAACAGAGGAATTCAATACAAAGTAAAAATTTGAAAACAAAAAATAATGACTGAATATGCCATTGAAATAATCCAACAAACATGATACATCATAATTACAGTAGCCAGGAATAATTCAGCAATATTCCAGGGTATAAACTTACAAGGTAGCTTATGAAAATATCACGTACACAGGCAGGCAAATAAAGTACAGTGGTACCTCGGGTTACATACGCTTCAGGTTACATATGCTTCAGGTTACAGACTCCACCAACCCAGAAATAGTACCTTGGGTTAAGAACTCTGCTTCAGGATGAGAACAGAAATTGTGCAGCGGCGGCACAGCAGCAGCAGGAGGCCCCATTAGCTAAAGTGGTGCTTCAGGTTAAGAACAGTTTCAGGTTAAGAATGGACCTCCGGAACGAATTAAGTACGTAACCAGAGGTACCACTGTATATATTTCTAGGAATATAATATTAAAATGAAGACTAGGCTAAATTTCTGGAGAAAATTATTAATGAAGGGCATGGCACTTTCTTTTAGGCTTCACTTGAGAGAGATAGAGACAGAGAAAGAAAACTGTTATGGTTATTCATTGTAACTTTGCTTAGAATTCATTCAAAAAGAAAGAAAGAAATGCACTCAATTGAAAGATGGCCTTGATCTTGATTTAAATGTTGTTTGGCAGTTATATTTCTGAATGATAGCATTGTGCAACATCAGTTCCTCTGGAGGCTGAAAAATGTGTAGATTTATGGACCAGCTTTGCTTCTCCCCCTCTGTTCCCCAAGAAAACTGAAGAGAAGTGTTGCCTTCAAACTAGGGCTGAAGTTGGCTTGCCTGACGGAATTCTACAGATATCTAGATTTATATTGTATTTAGGCAACGACAGAATCATGCTTGCTAGCTGAAAATAGATAAATAATCAATCTGTTTCTAAACTATAAGAAAATTCAGGATGTTCATCTGATTATTAGTCAAAATGGCAAGGGTAAAAAAAGCTGCAAGTGAATATTTATGCTCAGATAGGCTATCAGGCCTGTCCCATAGGAAGAGAGAGTGACAAATACATAGTGACAATTGGAAGATGAATCTGCATCCACAGAAAAAACATAGCATTACTGATAGACCTAGGAAGATTTTCTGCCATATGAGATTTCACTAGCCTTCCTTTTTCATTTGAGACTTCACAGGCAACAAAAGCTGCCAATAAAAAACAAACAAGCAGCACCCCCACCCCCAGGGTGCCAGCACAGACTTACATGTTTGCCAACAATTCACAAATATTTCTTCTGAAAGATGGTTAAAGACACAGGCTATTTTCTGATGTGCGTATTGCATCCATACCAAACTAATTAACTTAAATTCACTTTCGTGGAATGCACATAGCTTGGGAGCAGCAATCTGGCATCCCTTGTAGATAGAGGCATCTCCATACGCTTGCAAAGCTTCAACAGTAAAATATATGTCAGAAAGCACTGCTGAGGAAGAATTCAGCCTAACACTTTTGAGAGCTGAGTTCAAGACCTGCATGGTACTCCTCAGTACTGAGCACATGGACAGTCTAGCATCATTTAAGGGATAGTGTTCCTATTTTGATGAACCAAGAGTTTAGTTGGACAAAAATGAACTAAAATAGACTGAACATTGATATTACAGTTGGATCAACTCCTGGACCATTCATAATGGAAGAAATGTGGTGCAGAAGTGTCATAAATTAAGCAAAATAAAGCATATCCTCAAAGTATTTGTATTGCTCTCCTGATAAAATCCTGAATGCTAATTTTCATTGCAAACATGCTAAGTAATAGACAACAATCCTTAATAATACAAAAAACAATAATTAGCAGACAGCCCTACTATGAAATGATATTTGCATGAGACAAGGTTGCTTCAACATGGCTTTGGATGCCTACCTCATAAAGGTCAATGACGACATTCCCCTCTAGTCCTCGGTTGCTCTTGACGTTCTCCAAGGCTAGGGTGAAGTAGATCCCTCGGGTGTCAGAAATGTAAAGGTTGTATGTGTCATTCTGGTTCCATTCCTGAACTGCCGCAAACACCTGATTCTCATTTGTGCTGATAATATGCATGTCCTGTTAAGTAAGATAAAAGGCTTATTACCCCCCGATCTTTATATTTCTCTGCCCTTTGGGACACAAAGCAATTTCCACGACTTATGCCACAGCAGGGGAAGGACCATGAGTTATGAGTGATGTTAAACAATTTTCTATTAGACCAAGCCAATAAATTATCATATTCTGCCTTTCCTTATTTGTGTGTTTTTAATTTTAAAATGGCTGCAGGGTGGTTAGTGAGGAAGAGGGAAGGAGATTCCAGAGTCCTTGAAGGAGTTTCACCCTGCTTCATTTTTTATTTATACATTTGCATGTTTTATTGCTCCTGGAAGATTCACAGCCTAAAGGGCTCCTTCTACCAAGTAGACCTGGAAAGCACAGCTATCAAGGTAGCCAGGACAGTGAGCCTTAACTTGCAATAAGAGAGACTAAGCTCTAGCAATAAGAAAGGAGTTAGAATTTCCATCCATTCCAAAGTGGCTACCAAATTGCCCTTTTCCTGGGAGACATCAATCTTGGACCTATTTAATACCTGGAAAATTAAGGCAATCTCTAGTATCTCCAGGTAGGTCTGGGAGGCACTCCCAGTCTGAAATCCTGAAGTGTCATTGCCAGTCATCACCTGGGAAGACAGACAAACTAATGCCATTGTACTGGAAGAAGCAAAGATCACCAGTGTCAAAGCAATGATTCTTCAACATCAACTTCATTGGACTGGTCATGTTGTGTGGATGCCTGGTTGTTGTTGTTTAGTCGTTTAGTCGTGTCGGACTCTTCATGACCCCATGGATCAGAGCACGCCAGGCACTCCTGTCTTCCACTGCCTCCCGCAGTTTGGTCAATATCATGCTGGTAGCTTCAAGAACACTGTCCAACCATCTTGTCCTCTGTCATCCCCTTCTCCTTGTGCCCTCCATCTTTCCCAACATCAGGGTCTTTTCCAGGGTGTCTTCTCTTCTCATGAGGTGGCCAAAGTATTGGAGCCTCAGCTTCAGGATCTGTCCTTCCAGTGAGCACTCAGGGCTGAATTCCTTCAGAATGGATAGGTTTGATCTTCTTGCAGTCCATGGAACTCTCAAGCGTCTCCTCCAGCACCATAATTCAAAAGCATCAATTCTTCAGCGATCAGCTTTTATGGTCCAGCTCTCACTTCCATACAGGATGCCTGATTATCACCTTCCAAAGCAACTACTCTATTTAGAACTTAAAAATGGAAAGTGTAATGCTGGTGATCAACAAAAGAGGTTCAAAGACTGTCTCAAGGTAAATCTTTAAAAATGTAATATAAGCACCGACAACTGGGAAACACTGGCCTGCGAGCACTCCAATTGGAGAACAGCCTTTACCAAAGGTGTCATGAGTTTTGAAGACGCTTGAACTCAGGACAAAAGAGAGAAATGCTCTAAGAGGAAGGCACGCTTGGCAAACCCTCACCGTGATCAACCGCTGCCCAGAAACCTATGTCCCCACTTTGGAAGGACATGTGGATCCGGAATTGGCCTCCACAGTCACTTATGGTCTCAATGTTAAGACCATGTTCATGGAAGACAATCACTCCTCTATGAGTGATTGCCAAAGAAGAAGAAGAAGGCTGGGGTACATATAGATGGCCCCAACTGGACTGACTCCAGAAGCTTCCTCTGTTCCTTTGTTCATGAACAGATAGAAATGTATTAAACAATATATACCTTTATAGAATGATAGAAAAGTAACAAACAAAGTAGGATGATGGGAAGCTGCCTTACACCAAATCAGACTATTGCTCCATCTAGCTCGGTATTTTATGCACTGACTGGCATCACTTCTCCAGGGTTTCACGCAGTGGGCATTCCCATTCCTACCTGGAGATGCCAGGAATCGATGCTGAGTTTTTCTGCCTGCAAAGCCAATGCTCTAACACTGAGCTATGGCCATCTCCTTGATTAAATTACCTCTTCTTGTCAAAGACTTTGTACTTATCAATACTACTTATACTAGGCACATTTACCTTTGGTAGCGAGTACTTGGGCAATTTTATTTGTGTGAAGGGTTCCCTTCTGTAGGACACATAGTAATTTGCTCTTCCACCAGTCGTCACCTGTACAAATACAAGAGAGAGAAGAATGAATACTATTTAAGCACATACCATTCGGTGACTCCCTGACAATTTTGCAAGATTTTTGGTTCATAGAATCATAGTGTTGGAAGGGATCCCAAGGTTTACCCAGTCCAACCCCCTGCTATGCAGAAATTTCAGCTAAAGCATCCAAGGTGGTAATTCAGCATCATTGTTTGAAAGAGGGGGGAAATGCCTGCAAATTGTAAATGTCATCCTGCTCTCCAGGCTTGATGAAGCTGAAATAGTCACCCACAATCGTGTTGTTCTGAATTTCATCTCAGTTTCTGTTCTCGGTTGCATGCACAACCTCACATTTCAATTTTGATTATGATTTATCTGCTGAGTTTCAGAAGAAGGACTGGAGCAAGTATAGTTTTGTTTGCACCCAAGCCAAATGGACAACTAGAAATCAAACTCTTTTCTTTGAGGTGTTTCTAGACAGATTGCTGTATAATTTGTTCTAACAACTTCCTGAGTATTGAGGCCAGGCTAACCTGGGGAACTACAGTCTCATTAGTCTGACTTCAATACCTGGGAAATTGCTAGAACAAATTATAAAGCAATCAATTTGTAGCCACTTCTTGGAAATTGCTAGCAGTCAGCATGGATTTATAAAGCAGAAGGCTTAACAAACCAATCTAAACTCTTCCTTTTGAGGGCAGCTGATTTAGGGGGCAAGAAAAATATAGTTGTCATAATCAACCTCTACTTTTGACACAGCACTAGCTGACACTCTCTTACTAGAACAGAGGAAGAAAGGATGTGTAGGGGGACTGCCAACTTATGACTCAAAAGGGATACTATCAACACAAGTGTCAAAGAGAACTGTTCTAAAAGGGGGCTCCCTAACTGGTCTGTTTTGGATCCAGTGTGGGTCTACACTGTAAATAAAATACATAAAAGTATGGAGAATATTTGCCTCACATATATTTTAAGATAATATTAGAATAATATTTGTTTTTTATTGCTCCTATAAATAATAAAATGGGAAACGATGATGGGAAATGAAATCATTACATATAGAAAAAGGGAGGAAGCAAAACTACCAGTTCTGGCTAAGCACTTCTAAAAGTGCCTACAACTTATGCTTGATAAATAAGAGAACACACGTATCTATACTGGATATATATATCCAAGCCCTGCTCATACTAAAGATATAGGGTTTTATATTTGTCACCGGTCAAATGGAAGGACAGCAAGAATATTTTCAGAAGAAAAAGAAAAGTTAAGTGAATAAATTTTGACTCTATAGTATTTGCTTTAGCATGCATGTAGGGTCTGAGATAATGCAATAGACCAAATGCTCCTTTATTATATCAAAACATTTACTGACTTTTAAGATTTCTAATAAAGCCTACAAAATTCCCTTTGCAGATATGTATTTTAGCTTCCTTTGAAATTTCGGCATTTTATATTGCTGTAGCATCAATAATACTCCCAGTAATCATATCATCTCTAGATGGTGGCATATTTCTATAGACAAGCTGTCATTCAAAGGCAGAGCGAAGACTGGCTATAATGCACAGAGATTTCATATCTGATCTTCTCCAGACAAGGCTCTGGCAGTGAATGAAAAGTGAAAAAGAGGCCTGTCCTTCAGAGCAGTCGAAGATTTTTGGAATCTGATTCTGCTCTGAATGTGGGACTTTATCATGAATTCTTCAGTGCATCACTCTCAATCCAGACACACAGAGCCGAGATCATTTTGTCCAGAAGAAGTGGTTACAAAAAGAAGAGTCGGTGCGCTAACACTTAAGTTATAAAGGCGATGTGCAACGGTATCATCTATAGTATGACTTGACAATCTTCCTCTGTTGCAAAAATAGTAGGAAGGATGGTTATTGACAATTATTAGGCACCCCACACACACTAGAGTATGTCTTGTACAATCAGAATGTTGGGATTCAGTATTTTATTTATTTATTATTTAGTAAGAGATTTAGCAAATGTCATCAAAATTATTGCAGGGCGGCTTACAAAAAATCAGATGCTATAAAACAAAATATGTACAGTGGTACCTCGGGATGCGAATGGGATCTGTTCTGGAGCCCCATTCGCATCCTGAACGGAACGTAAGATGCGACATCGCGTTTTGCCACTTCCGCGCATGCGCGTGTCGTCATTTTGAGCGTCTGCGCATTCACGAGTGGCGAAACCCGGAAGTAATGCACTCCATTACTTCCAGGTTGCCGTGGAGCGCAACTCGAACGTGCTTAACCCGAAGCACGTTCAGCTCGTGGTATGACTGTAATAAGTAAAACAATTTAAAATAATTCTGATAAATTGCACAAATAACATAGTTAGCAACAACAACAACAACAACAACAACTTAACCCATGAGTATCTAAAAGCCTGACAAAAAATAATAATCACCAATTTTAACCTGGCATTACCCATACCAATGGATTCAAGTTACAAGAAAGGAGATTTTGACTCAACATCAGGAAGAACTTTCTGATACTAAGAGCTGTTTGACAGTGGAACAAACTTCCTCGGGAGGTGGTGGACTCTCCTTCATTGGAGGTTTTCAAGCAGAGGTTGGATGGCCATCTGTCATGGATGCTTGTTTAGATTCCTGCATTTTAGGGGTTGGACTAGATGAGCCTTGGAGTCCCTTCCAACTCTATGATTCTATGATACTATGTACCAAGGTACACTTCAGTGTGGAATTCATTCCACAGACATGGAAACACTGCCCTAAAGAGTCTTCCATGGGCCCCTATGCTATATGTTTTATTCAACATAGGGACCATCAAATTGTAGTCCTACGAATCACCCCATTATAGAACTTCCATCTTATTTGGATTCAGTTTCAAATTACTGGTCAATATCAAACTCATTACTGTCTTCAGGTACAGATTAACAATCTTCACTGCCTCTCTTGATACTGATGGAGCAGAGGATAAAGCTAGGAGGCATCAGCATATTGATGATACATTGCTCTGAATGTCCTTATGACGTTTAGGAAGGATAAATGCGTTTAGGAAGGATAGCATGGCCAACGGCATCAAAAGCCACTGAAAGGTGCAAGAGAATCAAGGGGGTTGCACTCCTCCTATGTCTCTTCTGACAAAATAATCAACTAGGGCAATCAAGACAGCTCTGGCTACCAAACCAAGCCTTTAGCCAGATGGAAATGGGCCTAGATCAGTTTCATCTAAGCACACCTGAAGATCACCACTGTCTGCTGGAGCACCTTGCCCAAGAAGGGAAGATTAGCAACTTGATGATACCACCACCTCCTTCAAGGCCAATGGCTGTGGAAGTCTCCGAATGCCACCATGGGAGGGCTCTCCAGCAGCACTCCTGAGACCAACTCTGACAGTTCAACCCCAGAGAGATTGTTGGACAGTGAGGTAAATGGTAGACCAACAAGATCCTTATTCTTTCTCTCAGGTCCAACATTTATAACAGACTTTCATCTCCAGTCACAGAGCAGATAACAGCAACTCCCTATCCCCACCCTTCCAGTCCGGACTGGTGCTGCACTGAGTAAACTAGGGGAAAAGCTGTTTAGAGCTGCTCCACTCAGCTCACCCACCCATGTCCTCCCCATTAAAGCATGGAACAAATATGTTTTATTCAAGACCAACATGGCATTTATCTGCAGCAGCACCAGACTTGAGAGTGAACTGGCATGGCCAGCCAAATTCAGAGAGGTGGGGAGTGGCTAAGAAGGGATAATAGTCTAATGGTGGCCAAGTCACCTTCTACAAGATTTTATTAAACATCTTCAATGTTATCTCTTCCCTTGCCAGTAATCACTGAAATGACAGGTCCATCATATCCATATCCCTTCTCAGCACATGGAATCTGTCCACGCCAAGAGCTAGAATGACATTACGGCCAAGTCTTTTATATGGATTATCATCACAGGGATAAGTCATCAGATGATACCATTTCCAGTGGTCTCTACATGATTCATGTGACGTGTGCTCTGGCTCTAGCTTTACAGATGAGCTGAGCTTTTAATCCAGACATCTCACCACAATCGTACCTCCAAGACTCTGCTGGGCTGCACTGAGTGGCAAGAAATTCCAAATATTATAGGAAACACCATGGAAGGGGGGGGAGCATAGCTATGTGCTCAGTTGCAGCTCCACTGGGAGAAAGAAAGGAAACCCTCTGTTGGGAGAACCAATCTGATGCTTACATCAGCAGGGATATGGCCTTTTCATGATTTACACCTAGGGTAATAAAAATCACAAGCAATTATCAAACCTTCATTACCATTTGTGAAGCTCTCTAGTGAGGAATGAAGTTCAGGAGCCCCTTTTTCATTTATTTTGATGAACTTTGCATATAAGAAAACTTGCCTACACTGAATCCTAGAGATTATTACAGCTTTTTCCCCCTCCGACACCACCTTTTATTTCATATTTGATGAATGCCATCCAATTATTTCTCCTGCACCCATCCATCATACTTAGCCCAGAATTAGCTGGGTTTGTCTTTTTTACTCTCCCTTTACTTAATGATGGGCTCGTTAATCTGGGTGGGGGGTTTTCCCCCTTCCCTTGGCTTTATATTTTATGAGTTTAATTAGGAAGCTGGCCAATTGAAATGATTCCATTGGACAAATGTGTTTATCATTAAATGTATCTATCTGTCTTCTCTGCTTGATGTTCTGACTTCACTTTTCCAGGACTGGTCCCACCTCTTTGCGTTATTTCATACCTGCACTGCACTTCAAATGTAATAAATGAGTAAAACTTTATAACAAAATGCTAATCTAGCATGATATCCATGTCTCCTTTAACTATTTTAATACATTTTATTTATACCTTTATTTATACCTTTAATTATTTTAATACATTCCA